GTCACCACGAGGAATCGAACTAGGGACCCCTTTTCTGGTATTCAGAGGGCCGTTCAGGAAAAATGAAACCATGCTTCTGTGGTCCCGTATGTATATCATGCAAGAACCATTTTGAAAAAAGCTTGGCACACCCTGAACGACCTCCCTTATTAATGACCGTTTTGCTACCTATCCAGTAGTGGTCCATTGTGGAGTAGGCGATGTGCCATTGACGATTGCGGGATTGCATCAACAATGTATTGCGCCAGAGAAAGGCCATAATTCACCTGCGGCTGGTCCCGTCTAGTTGCCAAATAGCCATAGAAGTATCATAGCTTGCTAGTCTAAGAAGCAAACAGGCGGAGCAGCGCTTCTGCCCTCTATGTCTTGCCCAACCAAGGTTTTGAACGCGTTTCACTTACAATTAAAGAAGGCGATGTCCTTCCTACGGAAAAAATAAGAAATATCGGGTGGATCTAGCAGGTAGTAATGAAGAGGAGTAATAATAAGAAAATGATTAATTATTCAATAGCTATGAATAGTGGAAGATTTCTGTACGTAACCGAAAGTCGGTTGTGTAGTGGCAAGTTGGCAAGTGGCACGCTTACCACGCGAGCGGTCCGGGGATCAAATCCTGGGTCGTGAGTCGCCCGGGCCAACCAAGCCTTCCATCCCTCCGGGGTCGGTTAATTGGTACCAGACTTGTCTGGGAGGATAAAAACACTGACTTGTACATCGGCTGGCCCCCGCAAGTCATTGTATAGGCCACATCGCATTCAAACGCCACTACGAATGTACAAATGGAAGTAGAATGCGTGCCGCATCCCAAAAAGGGATTGATCAACGGCAAATGCTTTATCCTTTTATCCTTTAGCCGAAAGCGATGTTTAGGAGAGCTCTTAATAATCATGCCATTGTGTCGTAAAAGAGAACGGGTGAAATGCAGAGCTCTCGACACTGATCAACCTCTAAAGTGCTCCGCGCTTTTGATTGCTGTTTGGAATTGAAGCGGCATTGGGCATTCGGACGATGATCTCCTGGGACAGTTACAAGATGCAGGTAGGTATCCTATGCTTCCAGTCACATCCACAATATTTACAATTACCCATACCGGTCGGCAAGGCAACCCTGATAACAGGAAGGAGACTCTGCGGGGGTTTGTTGGCCAAACACTATAGGCAGTGCCGCTTCTCACTATATAACATCCGCACTCTAATGGAGAGAATTTCCACCGAGCGGATACGGAAGCTAAAATCAATTTCAGAGGTAACTGAAAGTGATTTTATAATTGTTATACGTGGAAAAGGGTGAATGAGGGGGCAATTATTCGAAGTTAGCTGTGGTGCTTTTGGAAATAAAGGGAAATGCATAGGATATTGATAGTTACGAGGGGATAATTCATTGAGCGAAGGATTCAAGGGGAGGTTGATTTCTATGGACTCACAGGAAATGTTGAAATTCAACTTGAATCTTGTAAAATAGGAAGTATTAGAGAAATTTCGCGCGTGTCCTGCACCTCTTCATAAATACGTATATTCGCCAATAACGATACACTCCGAAACAATGGAATAAGTTTGGAGGAATTGGCAACGATTTTTAAGAAGAACTATTATTCGGCGAAGCCGGAGACGACTATCTGAATCAGTACTTGGTTGAAAAGAGATTGCGAAGATTCGAGGTTGAGCAAAGGTAAAGATGGATCTGTTTTCTGCCAATTCGCAGAAAATGCTCTTGTGAAATTCCCTTTCTCCTGGCAAAGTATAAGTAGGAAACTCAACGGGTTTCGTTTCGAAACGTTCGATCTTCTGCACATCTTACACGAGTTGTTGTGAATTACAAAAAAAAACAATGGTTTGCAAGAGAACCTGAAGGCCGATGTCAGACTTTGCGAATCGCGCGATTCGCTAGCGTCCGCGGTCGCGTTGCGGTACCAGCCAATTGAGTGATTCACTGGCCGCGACGCGACCGCAGACGCTAGCGAATCGCGCGATTCGCAAAGTCTGACATCGGCCTAAGTGCGCTTATTGGTGAGGACTGTGGATCAGTAACATCCATCACGACGGGATCACTGTGAATGTTTATCCCCCTGGAAGCTTCTTGAAAACTATCCGACAGTACTCGAAATCGTTGACTGTAAGATGGGGCGACGGATCCACAATGCGTGAAACTACTATGAGGATATGTGTGAGCAAGTGACAGTTTGTGTTGTTCAGAAGTCGCCAGTCTGTCTCATTGGACAAAGAATAATAAAACGACACGGGAGTTTTCACAAGAAGCTGGGTTGTGAACAAAACTTCCGCCCGGACAGGATTCGAACTCGGTTCTCTCGCTTAGACCCCGTCCATAGCTCGAGCCTTCGGCAATGATGCGAAGATGCGATGATGCGACCGAGCGATTCTATCAAATGAAGTGAGTGCATATCGATTGACTCGACTCCGCCCTTATAGCGTCACATGCGAGAGCGCGTCTGGATTGCAGCGATCGCGCGAGGCGAAGATGCGATGGGGCGACCAGCGTGGAAGGATTTGATACGTGTCAATATGAAAGATTAAATCTAGACATGAACCAACAATCTTTGTCTTGGCTTTTTAAGATTTGTTCACTGACGGATAGCTGATAAAGTGTTTTACTTTTGATAGTCTTTCCAGGCTTGCATTGTTTTCCCTCGTAAATGCTTTATAGAGACTGACAAATAAGAGTTTTGTCCATCGCCATTCGTAGAGAGGCAGCGCCGCAAATTCACGCTGGAAAGGCAACCCATTTCAAATTAACTTAGGATGGTGAGTGGTACACGAAAGAAGGAAAAACCATGAGAAACGGCCCAGAACCCGAGAAATGGGACCCCTTCCTTGCCCGTTGATTTGAGCATTGATGCGACTCTCATCGCTGTGCCCTCTTCAACACTACGCTCTCTCACCTATCTAATCACTCGCCACGTATAGACCTGCGGCGAGTGATCAGATGATCGGTGGGCGTGCACTGACCAGCCGCGCGGGATTAAGCCTTAATAGGTCGCCGAGGTCAACTCCTTCTGTGCAAATTGTGCTTCAGTTCGCACACTTAGGAGCTCCGCGGGTCCCTCAACCAGGTGAATTCTTCCTAATTCGATTTTCCCTCTGATCGTGAATTCGTCCTTTAAGACAAGGCTCTAGGTGGAATCGTAATAAGTCGTCTTCTATGTCGGTCACTGTTTCTGGATATCTACTATTCTGATAGAGGCTTGCAATACACCCACTTTAAACATGTAGCTATTCCGCGGAGTTGGGTTGCAAGTTACAAATGTTTGCTGAGCAATATTAGGTCCCTCCCAAGAAATTCATCTTCTCTTGTTTTTTTCATTGACAAATAAGTGTTACGACCTGGTTCACTGAAACCTGGCTCAAGTCTGAGCTCGATAGTTCCACGTTCTTCGGCATTCTTGGGTACGAGTACGTTCATTGCGATATGCCACGTAAAATTGGTGTTGGAGTCGCGTTTTTAGTGAGAAAGATTCTTTCTCACCATATTGTGTTCAGAGAATCTGTCAAGGATTCATATGAGCTACTTTGCTGCGATTTTGATTTCATTACTGAGATTTGTAGATTCGTTGTTGTTTATAGGGTGCCCTCTTGTTCTACTGACAGAACTCAGCAACTATTCAAAGCCCTAACGGATCTTTCGGTTTGCTCCTACCCTTTTGTTGTCGTGGGTGATTTCAATATGCCTGGTATTGATTGGTAGACATGTGAGGTCGACAGTGTTAGTAGTCTTGCTGGATCGGTTCTTCAGCTGTGCAGAAGTTACAACCTTGTGCAATTTGTTCGTAATCCTACTCGGGGAAATCACATCCTGGATTTAGTTTTTTGTAATAAACCTGGTTTTATTGATGATGTGGCCTCAGGTCCGCAGTCGGATCCAGTGACCATTCTACCATAGGTTTTAAAATCAAATTTGCTAATCATAGAGCTATCTGGCGTAAGCAATTCTCTAGTGCCAACTGTGATGAAATTTGCAAATACCTTGCTGATATTGACTGGTTCGGGTCTTTTAATTGCTTGCTCTAATGTCAATGAAATGTACGAGCTCTTCATTTTTATACTTCAACATGTAATCGACATTTTTGTTCCTTTGGTAAAATCTCATTGGCTGGGATTGCCCTTCCCACCGCACCTTGTAAGGCTCTCCAGGATTTGTTCCCAAGCATAGAATATAGCCATTAAGTCTAAAACGCAACAAGATATGGATGAGTATGTTCGTTTAAGAACTCGCTTTGTTAAAAGGCTGAACAAATATAACTCTTTTGTTGAGAAAAAAGTGATAAATTCATACGACAAGGCTGCCTTCTTCCGAATGCTATCTGCCAAGCTTAAAAATCGCAATGGTATTCCTTCTCTCAGAGATCCGAAGGGTAACATTGTATTCTCGGATCATTCCAAAGCTGAAGTCTTGGCGGAATATTTCGCCTCACTTTATGCAACTCCACAGAAGCTCTGATCTAAGTAACCTTCCACCGGTCCTTTTCCCCATCACGAAACAATGTCTTTGGTTCCATGAAGAAGGAGATTTTAGAGTACATCCAGAAGTGGCCAAATTCATCCTCTTTCACCCCTGACGGTGTGCACTTTATATTTCTTGAAGCGTGTTTCGGCTGTAATTGTTGGTCCTCTCAAGCATCATGAATCTTTCTCTTATTAGAGGAGAAGTTCCACGCATTTGGAAACATTCGTATATGACAGCAATTCCGAAGAGGCAGCCTCATGACGTTGTGAGCAATTACAGGCCCATTAGTATCACTTCTATTATTTCCAGATTGGTCGAGAAAATGCTTAAAAAGAGAATATTAGAGCACTTAGAGGAGCATCGTATCATTAGCCCTAATCAGCATGGGTTTGTCAAGCAAAAATCTACGATAACTCAGCTTCTAGAAGCACTGAATGACTGGACCCTAGGAATTGACCAAAAGAAAGAAGTTCACATTATTTACTTTGACTTCCTCAAGGCATTTGATAAAGTGCCCCACATCAAACTGTTCTCCAAACTTGGAACTGTTGGGATTAACACTTTGGAGACCGCGCGTGTTTTACGTTCCGCGGCCGCGCGGGACTTCGGTGAATTTTTAGGGATCTTATCTAGCAAATTCAAAAGAAGAACCCACTGTATAATGCAGAAGAAATCTTATCGGATAAAATGGAAAAGAAAATGAATGAAAAACCTAATAATTGTTTCCGAAATGCGAGCTGAAAGGTCCTATGCGGTCGGAGGGCTGCAGCCCACATATGGGCTGCGTGGGCTCCAAGGTGTTAATGGATTGCTTCTCAAATGAATGCGGAATTCTTAACAAATCGCACCTTCAAGTCCGCATAAATGACTCTTTTCGTCAGTAAAGATAGCTTCTAGCGGCGTTCCGCAAGGCGGAGTATTGCTCGCCTTTGCTTTTCAACATTTATACCTTTGAGCTTAGTTCGTTAGTTACTCCTCTGGGGGTAGAGTGCAAGGTTTTTGCAGATGATGTCAAAATCTATAAGACTATTCATTCTGAGGCGGATTGCTGTACTCTCCAAAAAGCAATCGATATCGTAAATGAATGGTCCAAGAAATGGGAACTACCATTATCAATAGAGAAAACCAAGGTTCTGAAGACTGATGTCAAGTACTCAGAACCCAAAGCTTCTCTTAGAATATTGATAAGACAGGCCTAATAACCGTAGATAGAATTTTCGATCTTGGTTTTATTATCTCTCGCAATCTTTAACCCTTTCGGCCCTGGCGGTGGCAATTGCCACCACCAAATTCAAATGCTTGCATTGCCGCTGAAACAGCATGGTTTTTCTAATCCTGCTAGAGGTTGCTTCAGTCAACCTTCCCCTTCCTAATTATGAGCTAAACCTGCCATTTCATTGTGTGTTGCTGTTAGTATTACAAGTATTTGTGTACAAGTGCAACAATGAATCGGCGCTGGTCCCCGCAACCGGCCAAGTAAGTGTCACTTTTTCTTAAAATACTTGAAGTAGATCCATTCTTAATCAAAATTATGGGTTATAATGTTGTGCAAGATTATAAACTTTTTCGGCATAACTATG